CACTGAGGGTTGTGATCCTGTTGCCGGTCCCGGTCCGGTACGGGCGCGATACTGAGGGTTGTGATCCGTTGCCGGACACGAAAAAAAAAAGACAAAAAAAAATATATCAAAATGTAAGGATATGTGTGCAAGGATGTTTATTGCAGCACTAAAAATCTGCAGACATGGCTGGCCCGTGGCTCACTTGGGAGAGTGTGGTGCTCACAACACCAAGTCAAGGGTTAAGATCCCCTTACCGGTCATCTTTTTGAAAAAAAAGAAAAAAAGAAATCTGCAGACAACCTGAATAACCAAATCTGGAAACAACCTGAATAACCAAATCTGCAAACAACCTGAATAACCAGTAGGAAACCTTGAGTAAATTATGATGCATATGTACTTTATGAAATATTATGTAGGTGTTAAAAAGAATGAATGAACTCTGTATCTTTTGCTCATGATATATTAACAAGTGGAAAAAAATCAAGTATTGTATTATCACGTTTTTGTAAAAATAAAGTAAATAAGGGACATCAGTATATCTATTGATTAAGTATATGGATAGATATTTGCCTATTTGTTGTGAGCATAGGTAAAAGTATAAAAGAAATACACTACCTACCAGGCTCTTAAGATTGGCTACAATAGGGAGGATGGAATTGTACAGTTGTGTTTTATGAGAGATGGGAGTGGTGGTAGCTTTTCTTATATAGCTTTTTATTGTTCACCTGTTGTTAAACTATGTATGACTTTTGGTAATTAATAAAACCAATAAAACTTAAAAAAATAGATAAACAAAAATAATAAATTAAAACACCCCAAGCCCTATTAATACCCATTTGATAACACGTTGGTATATTCTTTCAGATGTATAAAACTGGGGGGCTGGCTATTTAGCTTGGTTGGTTAGAGCATAGTGTTATAATACCAAGGTCACAGGTTTGGATTCCTGTACCAGTCAGCTGCCAAAAAAAAAAAAAAACCCAAAATCAAACAAACAAACAAAACTTGGATTCCTCTTGTACACACAATTTTGTAACCTGTTTTAAAATTTTTCATAATAATGTATTTTAAAGTTAGTAATTTCTCATATACAACATGATTTGTCATGGCTGAATTGTCTTCAATTTAAACCATTTCCAGTTTATGTCACTATAAACTATTGTAGATGTATACTTTTGGAGCAGAATAATTGCTGTTGCATCTTTAATTTTTCCTTCAAATTCCTAGAAAAATTGCTGATTACAAGCTATTGCATTTTTTTAAAAAAGTTTTTGGAAAGGAAAAAAAAAGTTTTTGATATTTGTTGCCAAATTTTTCTTCAGAATTGTTTTGTCAACTTATCCTTTCAGCAGTGTATGAGAATGTAAGTTTTTCTACATCTTTATCAGCTCTGGGTATTATTTCATTGTTGTTATTTTTGCCCTTGCAAATTTGATAGATAATTTGCATATCTTAGATAGGTATTTCCCAGATTTTTGGTCTTAGAATCCTTTACACTTAAAAAGTATAAGAAGACACCACAGGGTGTTTGGGTATAAGTAACATCTATTGATATTTACTGTATTAGAAGTTAAAAGTGAGGAATTTAAATATATTATTAATTCATTCAAAAATAACAATAATAAACTCACTATGTGTTAACATGTTCTTTTTATGAAAAATAACTATGTTTTCCAAAACAAAAACAAATATAATGAGAAGAGTGACTTTGTTTTACGTTGTTTGGCAAATCTTAATGTCTGGTACTAGAAGACAGCTAGATTCTCATATCTGCTTTGGCTTTCAATCTGTTGTGATATGTGGTTTTGGTCAGTAAATGAAAATACAGCCTCACGTATGTAGTTAGAAAAGGGAGGAATATTTTAATAGCTTTTTCCAAATAATTGTGGATATTCTTCTTTGATTCTTCACTAAAACTTGAGAAGTAGTAGCTTCTTAAAGATTAGTTGCAATGTGGAATCTGAAATCATGTCAAGGAACTTTTCATACTGTTACATTAAAATCCATTGGTCTAGCTCATACTTTGGATCTTTTACCCATGGATGAATTTGAAAAATATTGGCTTACTGAGTTTTACATACGTTCCAAATGTTGACACATTTCATTAAGAGAATAAAAAAGTTAATGTTTGTTAATATTACCACCAACATCATCAGAAAATTCTAACTATTGGGAAGTTGTCCCTCTCTCAGTAGTGAATTCAAATTTTCCAAAAATTGAGCTTTCAGGTGAAAATATGAATTTTATCATTGGTAACAATAAACACTGTCAGTTGTTTTCCTTGAAGTGGCAGTCTCACTGTGTTCTTTTTCATAAAAATGACTGCCAAATATCTAAGTCTTAAAAACCATAGTTGGTCTGCCAGATACTCTTTCAAATAAAAATGTTGTTGAAGGGGAAAAGAGCTCATTTGGTTGCAGTCAAAACGATATTGCAGGTACACTTCCTCAAGACAGCTATCAGCTATCATACTTTCTTCAGAAGCAGCAGCGGTACTTTATGTACACTTCACATTTAGTCACACTATACAGATGGGCCTCAGCTTGGGACGGGGTTGCATCCAGATGAAGTCGTATGGGGACTTAAAGATACCTTCAACTTATGATGAGTTTATTGGGAGGTAACCCCATCATCGTAAGTCAAGGAGTGTACTGAAAGCATATGGCTTTTGCACTATCGTAAAGTTGAAAAATTGTTAAGTCAAACCATCGGAAATCAGGAACTATCTATATTATAAAGACTGCAGGGTCGAGATTTAATAAAATAAACTATCTTTAATAAACAAGAACATTCTTAAATAAAATTTTATTCATTTTTTTAACTGTGAAGCATGGCGTGAAGAATACTCGTAGTAGAGTTCGGTGGCACTGCCCTAATTATTGCTAAGGAGCCAGCAGTTTTACCCTGTGTTGTTTTTATACCATCAGTATAAATGTCAGCACAGTGAAAAAGGCAAAGAACATCTTAATATCATTTTGAAAATACTGTTGACCTAAGGAACCCCCTGAGAGGATTTCTGGGACCCGTGGGGGTCTGTGGACCGTACTTTGAGAACTGATATTTTAGATTAATAATGGAGTTGAATATTTGTTCATATGCTTTTTGGACATTTTTATATATTTATTTTACCTTTTCACTTCTTTCATCCATATTCATTGACGTGTTTCTCTTTTTTATTGATTAGTAAGAGCTCTGTATACGTATTTCATATTGATTGCAAAGCCTCTCCCATTTGTTATTTGCTTTCAAATATGTTATAAAGATTTTGGAATTTAGAAGTTAAAAATGTTTATGTATTCTCTTTCATTAGGATTCCTTCCTTTCAAGTCAGGGTTTTTGTTTGTTTGCTTGTTTGAACTCTCTTCATTCTAAGAGTATGTAAATATAGTCACCTATATTTTAGTCCTTTTAAAGTTTTATTATTTACATTTTAGTCACTTATCTGGCAATTATTTAGGTGTTAGTTTTGAGGCAGAGATCTAACTACCTTTTCCCAAATGTTTGCCTCTAATTCCAATACTTACCTGTATCATCTAATAAATTTTTATTTATAATTTCATGTGTTTCTGGGTACTGATAACTTTTTAGTTTTTGAAACTATGAAATTTTATGTTGTGTTGAAGGCTTTTTTCCTATCATTTTTGAACAGAATGAAAACCTATAAAAAAGTATTCAGCCTTTTAATTTTTTTAAATTCAAGTGTATTAAAGACCTAAGATTTCCAAACAAAGGTTATTTTGGAGAAACCAGAAATTGTAATGCAGTCTAAGACCAAGCATAGTCTGTATTCATATAAGCAAAGACTACTTAAAGAAAAATTCAGTCTTGTAATTAGTTTTTACAATCTTGTCTGGGCTGGTTATATTAGTTAGTTACATTAAAACTTGTGATAATGAAGCCAAGATCAAAGGTTTGCTTTATTGGACAGTTAATTTCACAACAGTAGAAACACTTCCATCTTAATTCTTATGACTTAGATCTTGACTTTCAGAGAAAGTATAGGTGTCGTAGTAGAAATTATTACTTCTGCAGAAACAATGAAAAGATAACTCATGTTCTGTTTTTTAAAGGTGCCTTTTGAAAGGACCTCACCTTTCTTTTCTTTTTAAGTAATAGCCTATGTAGCAGTTTTAAGTTTACAGAAAAACTGAGCAGAAAATACAGACATTTCATATACACCTACCCCCAACAGCTTCTTCTGTTAACATCTTACATTTGTTACAGTTACAAATCAACATTGACACATTATTATTAACTAATAGTTTCACTGCCCTGAAAATCTTCTGTGCTCTACCTATTCATCCCTTTTTTTTTTTTTTTTTTTTTTTAAAGGATGACCGGTAAGGGGATCTCAACCCTTGGCCTGGTGTTGTCAGCACCACGCTCAGCCAGTGAGCAAACCGGCCATCCCTATATAGGATCCGAACCCGTGGCCTTGGTGTTATCAGCACCGCACTCTACCGAGTGAGCCACGGGCCGGCCCTACCTATTCATCCCTTTCATCCCTCCCTCTCCCCTTTATCCTTTGAAACCTGGCAACCACTAATCTTTTTTGTTGTTGTTATCTCAAATACTTATCATTTCTTTGTGTTGGGAACATTCAAAATCCTCCCTTCTGGCTAATTGAAAGTATACAATATAGGGGCCGGCCCGGTGGCTCACTGCTACAGTGTGCCGCTTGAAAGTGTGGTGGCGCTCCCGCCGAGGGTTCGGATCCCACATACAGACCGGTTCCCGCTCACTGGCTGAGCGAGGTGCGGGCGCAACACCGAGGGCTGCGATCCCGTTGCCGGGATCCGTTGCAGGACACGAAAAAAGGAAATTAAAAAAAAAAAAAAAAAAAGAAAGTATGCAATATATTGTTGTTAATTGTAGTCACCCTGCAGTGCTTTAGAATCCTAGATCTTATTTCTCCTATCTAGTTGTAACTTTGTATCCATTAACCAACCTCTCACTATTCTCCCTTTTGAGGAACTCACCTTTCAAAACTCTGAAGTTGATTGTTTTTTACTTTATTTTTTCCCCTACAGTTATTATTTTGGTTGAGAGAAAGTAACTCACTTTTCAAGGTGACCTGACATTTTAGATAGTCGTTTTGGGATTAGATTTGAAGCTTCTTTATGCCAGTGGCAATGTGTTATTTAGTTTTAAGCATTTATAATTTGCATTTCAATTAACCTTTTTAAAATTTCCTATTTGGCACAGGTAAACTCATTTAGACTATGGAAGCAATATGTAAGGTCCTTTTTAAATATAACCCTGTCTAATGAGGGTGGTCTTTTGATTTTTGAGGTTTTCAAGAAGGAAGACATAAATAAAGTACTAGTTATTGGGGTGTCTAATCAGTTTCATAGTGGTATGAGTATATTAAAGTAACATAGTCCTACACATTGTTTTACTTTAGGCTGTGCAACATCAGTGTTTATCAAGACCTCTTCAATATATGAAACTTTTAAAAGGGTAAAACTACTGGCCGGTCACTCAGTTGGTTAGAGCGCAGCTTTGTAACAGCAAGGTCAAAGGTTTGGATCCCTATACTGGCCAACTTCAGGAAAAAAAGAAAAGGGCAAAACCTCTATGTTGGGAGCTAACAATTATCTGATCATTAAAAATCACAGCATTTCACAAAACAGTTAAGCCTTGTTCATACTATATTTCTCCACCTTTCCCTCTAGACTTGTTTTACAGAGTGGAGTACAAAATGTGGCAGCTTTTATTTAAAGCAATTGAAAGAAATACCAACCCTCACTAGTAATAGAATATTGCCATCCCACCCTACGGTCTTCCCATACAGGGCAAGAGCCAGGGAATGGCCCTACCTAATCAGTGGAGCCCTTTCCTCCAGAGGTGTTGGGAGAGGGGATAGAGTGTTTCTGCCTTTGATAATTTATTTTAGGACCCTTCTTTATTGAAGTATAGAGGTGACTCACAGACTCATTGTCACCTGTTGACTTTTTTCTTGTCTGAACATATGTTGGGCTTCTTTTCTCACCCTCTTGAATATGTCTTATGTTTTTCTGACATCGTTTTAGTGTATGATGTTTTGATACTTTTTGATTCTACCTTTTTTGTGACCCACACTTTGCCTCTTTGCTTGTGTTGTTTCTACCCCATTAGTCTTACAAAAGAAGTTCATCCTTGGAACGTAACATAGCCATTTTGTTATAATGTCATCTTTTTAAAACCTGAGTGTATGACATGCATTCATTGTTAATATCTTTGTAAGAATACAGATGAAATTCATCCGGAGGCATTTTTTCACACTATGATAGTACTTGATATAGGTGTTGGGTTATGGATATCAGGTAGCTTTTTAATCTTAATTTTAAATAAAAGTCAATGTTTTTTCTAAGCTGCAATGCCCTCTTTGTCTGTCCCAGGGTTGGACTGGTCTGAAGAGAGTGGAGAAGAGCTGGAGGACTCAGAGCAGGCCTCGCCATACCAGGTTGCGTGGTCCCTCCGAGAAACCCTCAGATACGAAAGACACGTGTAAGTTTTCCTTTTTTTTTTTTATTCTTAAATTACCACTGTAGCAGATTGATTTTTCTTTCTTTCTGTGCTAATGTTTTTATCTTAATGGATCTAGTTTTTAATGGAGGTAGAATAGATTCCATTTGGGAAGAAATGTACTGTATTGTTTGTGCAAATTTACTCAAGGTTACTTGGTAAATTTGTTTCTGTACCTTTCCCATTCATCACTAAAGGAACCAATTGTAATAAAATTTAGAATTAAAGGGAATTTAGAGATTATCTGATCCAATCTCATTTTACAGAAGAGGAAGGCAAGGCCTGCATAGGTTAAGGAACTTGCCCATGGTCACTTGTAGGGCTACTTGGAGTCCCACTCTCTTACTTCTCCATATCTTCTTTGGTCCTATCCCCACAGTAGCTGGAAATAGGGCTTTTTACTTCATCTCTGTCTTCTGCAAGATTGACCCATTCTTTAATATCTCTACTGCGCTAAAATGTTTTTAAAGATAAATCTCCTTAGCGGTTCTTTGTACCTACCTTATCAGAAAGCTTTGTAGCTTTTTTAAAAAAAATATAGACTTCTTTAGTTTTTTTCCAAATATGCCTTAGGAAAGGAATTGTTTGTATAAAGTCTGTTGGAAGATTAATGTACATCCCCTTCAATGATAGTGAGAAAGCTAGCTTTTCCTGGAGATTGCATTAGCATTGTAGGGATTCAGTGGGTGGAGTGTGACAATATCAAGATAGATCCTTCTCTGTGGGGCCAAAAGATGACTCACAGACTCAGCTAATTATTTATTTAAAATATTATGGTTTGAATGGATACTCAACAAGATCAAGGGGAGACCAGATATCTGTCCCCAGGCTGACTCCTAGAAGTTCACAGTATCATCCTCTGGACACACAATCTAGGGTATGTTTTTTGAGTTTATGGGATTAAATAGTACACCCAGAGTGATCAGATTTAGGGAGCTGATTCACTAGAGACAATAGATCATATTACCAGCTTATAGTGAGAAATATACTCATTGAGTAGCACAAATGATCCCTGAACAAAACTACATGGGAAGCAGATTATAATCAGAAGCTTATTTGGGCATGGAATTAAAAGCAAGGAGAGTTAGATTGTATTAATGGCCATAATCATTAAATTGTCATAGCATGATGCATCTGTTTTCACTGTTAAGATTTATCTCCCATCTAGTTGTCCCTGCCTCACCCCTTAGACAGAACTGGAGAATGCTACACTCTTTTTTTTTTCTCCTCATTCTGAGGTTCTATTTTATATGTCATTCAAGACTCTTTCCTTACCATTAGCATTTTCTTTCTTTCAGATAGACTACAATAAAGTTAATTGAGCTTAAGCTTTCTTATAGATACTATCAGTCATGATTCCTAAGGGTGATATTCATACCAGCTTAATTTGACTCGGGGTATTTTGGGTTTATTTTACAAATTATTGTAAATGAATTAACATAAGTAAATGCTCAACAAAATACCTGGTACGTTGTGGGAAATGATTAGTAAATGGTAGTTATTATTTCTAATTTAATTCTCAAGGTAACCTGAACCTGAACTCTCCTATGGGAGTATTTGCTATTGATTAGGAGCAATGTATATTCTGTTTCTGCTTCTCTTCTTGTGGATTTATCAAAATACTTCTTTTGTTGTTTTAGACTTGTGACCATCCTCATTTTTCTTCATCTTCGTTGCATTTTATTTTCTTGCCCTCTTTTGCTAACTTGCTTCTTTTTTGACTACTGTGATATTCTGCTTTCCTGGTTCTTTTCCTTCAGCCTGTTTTTCTCCTTTTTAAGTAATTATCTGTACTCCTTGCCCAGCTGTGACTTTAATCTTTTTCTTGTTATTCTTTTCTGTTCATTCACTCACTCACTCACTCAATCAGCATATTCTTGTTGGGTTCTTATGCTCCAGTAAAAGGGCACTCTGTTTTTTCCATGGCGGTAAAACTGAGATTGAATTGGTATACGATTTCTTTTATGCCTATAACTCCACATCTGTATCTCTCACTCTGTCCTCTCACAGGAACCCCTGTATGGTATTTTAAACTACCCATAGAACATCTTTATCTCAGTCACTCTGTCCTCTCACAGGAACCCCTGTATGGTATTTTAAACTACCCATAGAACATCTTTATTTCAGTTTCTTTTTTTTTTTTTTTTGTCTTTTTTCGTGACCGGCAACGGATCGCAACCCTCAGTGTCGCGCCCGGACCGGACCGGGACCGGCAACGGGATCGCAACCCTCGGTGTTGCCCCCGCTCCTCGCTCAGCCAGTGAGCGGCCGGTCTGTATGTGGGATACAAACCCTCCTGGCGGGAGCGCCGCCACGCTTCCCAAGCGGCGCACTGTAGCAGTGCGCCACCGGGCCGACCCCTTTATTTCAGTTTCTTATTGCAGCTACCTGTCATTTATTGTACCCTGTTCTGTTTAAGTGTAATAGAAAATGGAGAGCTATAGCACTAGTCCTACCTAGCCTGTCCATTATATCTTCAAGACAGTTTTGACATTTAAAATTCCTTAGAGAGTTCATAAAGAGTTTTTGGAAGAAAAACTGACAATGGTCTGATTTGATCATCACACTCCTGCCTGAAGAACCTTTTCATGAGGTTTCTTGCTAAACCAGGATTGTACTTAAGGAAATTTTTGGAAGGAGGTTTGGCTTTGTTTTGGCAATGTTCTTGGTTACTTAGTTTAGTTGTAGAAGTATATGCCAAAGTAGATCTCTCAGGCTTTTACTTGAGTGTCTCAATGTCAGAAATAAGTACTTGTCTTAAATGTATTATTATGGAACAGTAATTACTGCCGGTAAATGCTTACCTTTGCATATTTCTAATGGTCTCTTTTGATAGAAAGTTCTTAATTTTAATAAAATATAATTTGACTTCCTTTATGGTAAGTGCACTTGTGACCTATTTGAGAAATTATTGTTTACCCCAGGGTCATGAAGTTATTTTCTCATATTCATATTATCTTCTAGAAGATTGTTTGCTTTACTAACAATCATTTTGGAATTTAATTTTGTGTATTTTATGTGATAGCTTTAAAGATCATTTTTTCCTTTCTACTTAACCAACACCATTTATTGAAAATGTTGTCATTTTCCATTGCATTGGAACCTTTGATATAAATTAGGTGACGTGTGTGTCTATTTGTGCACCTTCTATTCTGTCCCATTGCCTGTTTAGCCTTATGCCATTACTACATAGTTCTAATTAATGTATCTTCAAATAAGGTTTTAATCTTGCTTTGGTTTCTTTGATTCTCTTTTGTTCTGTTTTTTATTTTATTGCTTTGTGTTCTAATTTTTATTATTTCCTTTTGATTGGGGTTTAATTAGTTCATCTTTTTGTAGTTTTTAAGGTGATAGTTTAAGTTAGTTGTCTGAGATCTTTCTTGTTTTCTAATATAGACTCTTGGTGCCGTACATTTCCCTGTAGACACTGATTTAAGCTACATCCCACAGATTTTGATAAGACATTTTCATTTTCATTCAGTGCAAAATACTTCCTAGTATCCCTTTTAATTTTGTTGATCTATGGGCTATTTAGAGCTAATATTTAATTTCTAAATATTTTGAGATTTCCCAGATATTGATTTCTAATTTAATTCTACTGTTATCAGAAACCATACTTAGGTATAATGTTCTGTAAATGTCAATTAGGTCAAGGCAGTTGATAGTGCTGTTCTTATCTTCTATATCTTTTGTGATTTTCTGTCAACTTGTTCTATCAATTACTGAGAAAAGGGTGTTGAAATCTCTGTAGATGTATTTTTCCTTTTGGTTCTATCACTTTTTATTTCTCACATTTTATAGCTCTCATTAGATGCATAATCATTTAAGATTGTTCTGTCCTCTTGATGAAGTGACCACTTTATCATCATGAAATGACCCTCTATCTCAGTAATAGTGTTTGTTCTGAGATCTTACCTTATGTGGCATTAGTCCGGGTTGGTCCTCGAACAATGCAAGCGTTAGGGGCACACTGTGCAGTCGAAAATCTCCATGTAACTTTTGACTCCCCCAAAACTTAACCTACTAATAGCCTATGTTTAACTGGAAGCCTTACCAATAACATAAACAGTCAATTAACACATATTTGTATGTTATATATATTATATATTGTATTCTCACAACAAAGTAAGCTAGAGAAAAGAAAATGTCATTAAGAAAACCATAAGGAAGTGAAAACATATTTCTGAAGTCTGTGTTTGGTTCCATTGATTAATTAAAAATTTTTTTACTGCCAGAACTTAATTACTTAATTATTGTGGTTATAGAATAAGTCTAGAAATTCAGTCATCTGAATTTACAACTTAGCTCTTTTGCACGGTTATTTTGACTATTCTAGGTACGTTGCATTTCCACAGAAATGTTCAAATCAAATTGTCATTTTCTGTAAATGATACTATTGAGATTATGGTTTTTATTATAAATCAATTTGCAGAGAATTGACATTTTAACAATATTAAGTCTTCCAATCCATGGATATAGGATATTGCTGTACTTTATGTCTTTAAAATTTTTTCTCAGTAGTGTTTACTTTTTGATATGAAGATCTTGCATATATTTTATTAAATTTATCTTGTAGGGGCTGGCTAGTTAGCTCAGTTGGGTAGAGCACAGTGTTGATAACACCAAAGTCAAGGGTTTGAATCCCCCTACTGGCTAGCCACCAAAGTAAATAAATAAATAAATTTATTTTGAAGTATTTTGCTTTCAATGCTGTTGTAAACTGAACTGCTTTTATAACTTTATATTTCATTTGTTTGCTACTTCTATGTAGAAATAAAGTTTGTTGTTAGATTGACCTGCAATCGTCAATATATACTGCAATTTTTAATAAATTTACTTATTAGTTCTAGATTTTTTGGTAAATTCTTTATGATTTTCTTTATAAACAATCATGTTGTTTATGAATAAGGACAGTTTTACTTCCTCCTTTCCTATCTTTATGCTTTTTATTGCTTTTTCTGATCTCATTGCACTGGTTAAGATCTTCAGTAAAATATTGACTAGAAATAGTGAGTATGGACATAACTGCCTTGTTTCCTTCATTTTGGGTAAAATATCCATGTAATTTTGGTTTGAAATAATTTTTTATGTATAGGGTTTCCATTTATTTCCTTTTCAGATCTACTCCATCATTCCTGTTAATCTTTTATTGCCTGCCTTTCTTTGTAAATTCATCCTTTAAACATTTTATGCATAACTGTTTTATATTCTATATCTCATTATTCCAACCTTTGGGGTCCTAATAAGTCTAAATCTGTCATTTGTTGTTTTTTCTTTTTGTCACACAAAATGTCTTACCTCCTTATTTGCATGGTAATATTTAGTTTTGTAGGTCCTGGGCCTATCCTGGAATCTCAGGTTTAGCTACTTCATCTTGTTGGGATATATCAGCAAGTGCCTTGAGGGCAGCACATTTCCCCTCTTTTGCTCCCTTCTTCCAACTTTAGCTTCAGTTCTGAGTTTTTTCTATTTATTATTTATTTATATTTTGACCGAGCAGTTAGGGGAATAGATTTCCTCTACTTCCTTTGACCAACAATATACCCGTAAGTATATTTTTATATAGTATGTAGTTGCTTTAGAGTGGCAAGTTCCCTTGGAATATTGCCATCAGTGTTTCATTCTCTTTTCTTTTTTTTTTTTTTGGTTCTTTTTGAGACCGGCCCTACTGCGCTCAGCCAGTGAGCGCTGTGAGTGCACCAGTCATCCCTATATAGGATCCGAACCCGCGGCGGGAGCGCTGCTGCGCTCCCAGCGGTGCACTCTCGAGTGCGCCACGGGCTCGGCCCTTCATTCTCTTTTCTGTTTCACCTTTTATCTTTAAGTGAATGACTCCCAAATCTTTTCCTTGTGTTTGACCATTCTTTTGAGTTTGAACTGTTTGAACTGCCTGTTGGATATTTCTTTCTTTCTTTTTTTGGACCGGTAAAGGGATCGCAACCCTTGGCACGGTGTCATCTGCACCACGCTCAGCCAGTGAGTGCACCGGCCATCCCTATATAGGATCCGAACCCGCAGCCTCAGCACCAACAGCACTGCACTCACCCGAGTGAGCCACGGGGCTGGCCCCCTGTTGGATATTTCTCATCAAGTATTCTGTCAATACCTTAAATTCAGCATTTCTGAAATTAAGCTCATTATTTTCCTTAACATGTGTATGCCTCTTTCTGAATCGCCTATCAGAGGTGTTACCATTTTGCTGTTTTGTTGTCTTAATAAGTGAATTTTATTTGGAGAATTTCACATCAATGCTTTGAGATTATGGACAAGCCTGGAGTATCAGGGTTAGAGTTTGCTACTCCATATTTGGGGTTATTAGTAGCATTTTAATAATAATAGTTGTATTTATATGGTGATCTCACAGATATTTCTTTTCATTCTCAACCTTTGGAGGTAGGAAGGCCAGCTATACCTCTCATTTCACAGATGAGGAAGGTTAAGGAAGGAAGAAGACTAACACATACTGAGAACACAGTAGGTGCTAGGCCCTGTCATTACTGGTAGATTTTGGGAGTCTGGCTTTTCTCATCCTAGCTCACTACTCTTCCTCAGCAACCAGGTTTGAAATATTAACGTCATAGATCTTAGGTAAAAGTGGGAAGCATTTTGGAAATTTTCTATTTAGGTCCATTCCAAGGACAGTCTGTGGACCTGTGCTAATCTGCAAACTGCTTGTTTCTGGTTCACAACAAAATAAGTGTGGAAATTATGAATAAGCTTTAGACACTTTTATAGTCATGTAGCACGTTTGAACATCCAAGTGCACCTTTCCACTGTTAACTTGAGAAGCAGTGACCTAGTCCATACTCCCTGCAGTAATATAGTCTTTTCAAATAACAATTTTGGCAAGTGATTGTAAACACAAGCTTTACTTTGCTTGTAAGACCTGCTCCTTCTCCTCTCTTTTCTTTTTCTATTAATGGCACATCCATTCTCCCACTTATGCAGATTCGAAGTCATTATTGACTTTTTTATCCTTCATATTCAGTCAACAAATTGAGTTAATTCTTTTATGATAATGGCTCTTGTATGTCCTGTTCTTTCCATTATCTCTAAGGCTTTTTACTTTTAGTCACTCTCTTTCAGTTGTTAGTTGTTTACTCTGAAATCTGTATCTCTTCCCTAAGTATGCTCCGTTTTATCATTTCCAGTGGTTTTTATGCAACCTCTTGATGCATCATCTGTGCTTTAAATTCTTTTTGTCTGAAATGGAATTTATTTCCTGCCCCAAATCTGCTCTTGCTCCTGTTCCTTATTTTATAAATGGAGATGCTGCTGTCTTTCCCTAGTCTTTGCTGATGGAAACTGCTGTGCAGTTGTTGTCCCTTCCATTTTCCTTGCCCAGTTAACAGTTTGTCTTTTATACATTCAGAGTACCTCTCACAGTCTCCATTCCTGCTGCTCCTACCCTAGCGTTGGTCCTTATTATCTCTTACCTGGAGTTTTATAATAATTTTCTAACTGTTCCTCTTCTCTTTGTCTTTTTGTTCTATATCTGCCAACAGTATCATCTTTCTCATGTACAGCTCTATCATTGTTACCCATTTTTCTTAAAAATTTACATCTTCGTAGGCTTTTTACCAATAGAATAAAGTTTAAACTCTTTACCTACGGAGTTCATTGCCGATGGAATAAAGGTTAAACTCTTTAATCTGGAATACAGGTAAGGGATTAGCTTACCTACCATCACTCCCTTACATAACCCAGTATCTTAGCCAAAACAAGCTATTTGGTACTTGCTGTTCACCATCTTGTCTATCTCTGAATCTTGGCTTATATTGTTTTATGCATGTGAGGTATCCTTTTTTTCCTCATCTTCAAATTCTACCCTTCAAGGTTTAGTTCTGTTGTCATCTCCTCTACATAGCCTTTTACCCAGCAATCTTTCCAGTGAACCTCAATAGCACTTTATCCATACCTCTTTTATTGTACATATTGTTTTCTATCTTATTAAAGATGCTGATAGCACGTACTGGCTCTACTAGATATCCCAAGTGTAGACCTGCTGTGAGACTTCAGGGAACAATTAAAAATAAAGATTCTTGGGCCCTATCCCATGGAGATTCTGATTCAGTAGATCTGGGGTAGGCCCTGATTCTAAAATGCTCCTAGATTTTCCTAATTTATGGTCAGGTGTATAAATCATTGGTCTGTCTGCCCCACCATTTTAGTTCTTGGTGCTATCCTCTTTTGAATTGTTTAACTTTTGAAATTTGTTTATCTTGTCTAAATTGCATTGCAAACTCTTTGAAACTTTTGTCTTTCTTCTATAGTGCTCAGCATAATGGACACACAGTAAATGTTGAATAAATGAAAAGACTGATGTAAGATCATTCAATTTGTATGTCTGTAGTAGAAAATTATACTGAAGAGAACATGTTTCTTAGGACAGATACTAAACAGAAGTTTATAGAGTAGTACCCTTTTATAGAGAATTCTGAAGGAAAGAGGAGTAATACCACTTAAGAAGAGACACCAAGCAATGAATCACAGAAGATTTTTAAGATAATATACAGTTTCTGATGTCACATGTGTGATGTTTGCTTATGTTATAATAGAAATGAAGATAAAATAACATGGGTCAGTTTTCAAGTCTAATGTGCATTATTCCTAACTATGAAAAGTGAGATCACATTTGTTCCATAGAGAAGTGACCTTTTTAGGGCCTGCCCGTGGCTCACCAGGGAGAGTGCAGTGCTGATAACACCAAGGCCATGGGTTCGGATCCCTATGTAGGGATGGCCAGTTCACTCACTGGCTGAGTGTGGTGCTGACAACACCAAGCCAAGGGTTAAGATCCCCTTACCGGTCATCTTTAAAAAAAAAAGAAAAGTGACCTTATTAACCCCACTGGTGGTAGGCATTGCTAACTAACCACAGCACTCTTTCTTGCTGAGCCTAGGTGTGCCCTCAGCATCCTTTCCACATAGCATTTAAGCAGAGACCACTAATCAATCACATTAGCATATGATGGAAAAACCTGTGTGTAATCCCTGGTCTGTGGAATGCTGTTTAGATTAACTCCATAACTTAAAAAAAAACTGTAGAATTAATGTGATTCCTGAAATCAGAATTCTTTAAGTGCTTAGCAAGAAAAGGATACTTAAAAATCAGAATGTCTAAAAGGGCGGCTCTTTGATAATGTGCTGTTAGAATTTACTGCTCTATTTCTGGTCTGACCTGTCTCTTATGAAATTATGCTGTGTGTTTCCTCACAACTGCCATGTTATTTACTCAGACTTTTTAGTAAGTAAAGATAAAGAAATTATTTTCTCTCACTTAAATTTTAAAAAATGTTGGTGCATTAAGTGTCTAATGGTGACATGCTAAGAACGTCAAGCTTCTTAAAGGACTGCATTGTCTCTACTGTCCTGCTTGTGGCTGAAATATTATACTTATTTTCAGCTCTATTGGAATTCTCTTACTCTAGTTTCATTAAGTGTGTGCTCACATGCCACAAAATTTTAAACCTGTGCATCCACCCACCCTTCCTCATTCTCTTTCCCCTTTTTAAAACAAGCCTAATGTGTGATCAGTTTTTCATTCCTCTCGCACTTTCCAGGTCAGATGATGATGATACGGAGAGCAGGAGCTCCAGGGTGACCCAACTTTGCACTTACTTTCAGCAGAAATATAAGCACCTCTGCCGCCTGGAGCGGGCAGAATCTCGTCAAAAGAAATGCCGGCATACGTTTAGGAAAGCTTTGCTGCAGGCGGCCAGTAAAGAACCTGAGTGTACTGGTCAGTTAATACAAGAATTGCGGAGAGCTGCATGCAGTCAAACCAGGTTAGAGCCACATGGAGCCACCTGTTTCTAAGGAACTTTTCTCTATTTGTTTTCTGTATGTTTGAGAGGATAGTTGAGGAACTGTGCAAGATGGGCATTTGAGCCTGAAATATTCAAGCATTGTATTTTGGTTTTGTTGCTCAGATAAAGTGCTGCAAGGTGGGAAAATAAAACTGCCATGGGCTGACAGTAAAATTAAAGCATTACTGAGATTTTTGCTGAAGATTGATTAGAATTTACTTATTGAGGATTTGAGAATGTTACCTCTTTAATAAAAATACAATGCTTAGAAATTTCATGTTATTTAAAAGTAATATTTATAGTTTTTTTAAACTGTAAAAGTAGTATTTTATGTTTTTTACTTGTATTACTTAAAAATTTTCTTTTCAGTGTGTTTCTGTTAATATTTACAGTACCCCACATATTATAATGTACAAAATATTTTTATTTTATTACATTGGATTTCTTTTGGGGAAAGAAAATCCCTTCTGTTTATAATGTAGATACTTGTTTATTATGCAAAATTTGGAAAAATACAGGGAAAAAAAAGGGAAAAACTCCTTAATACCATTCACAAGACAGAGAAGGAGCACTATTAACATTTTGGTTCTGTTTCCTGCTAGTCTTTTTCTGTGTGTGTGTTGTATGTATGTATATAAAATCTCCAGTGAGCCGTGCGTTTACATTAAAAAGCAAAATTGAGATCATGCTATATGATTTTTTATTCCAGCTTTTTTCCATTTATCAGTCTAGTATGACCACTTTCTCGTGACATTAATTCTTTAAAGCTTTACTTTTACTGGCTATATAATACAGATGTCAGTCCTTAGACTTTTTCTATTTTATGTATGTATTTAAACAAAACTGGATTGATATTTTTTATGAGTTATGTGTCCAGTTCTTACCCATTAAAAGTGTATCATAGCCATTCCCCTGTTCTTAAAGATTCTTTTGAGATCATGATTTATAATGTTCACATAGTATTTTGTTGAATGAAAATATGTATATTGGAAATGTAGTTATCTGATACTTTAATGAAGAAATATTGCCATATTGCCATATTGCCATTTTGGTGGTAATGATGAAAACTGTTGAATGAAAATATGTATATTGGAAATGTAGTTATCTGATACTTTAATGAAGAAATATTGCTATATTGCCATATTGCCATTTTGGTGGTAATGATGAAAACCTGAAGATAATTATGTGTATTAGATTACATACCTTTTAAAAACATTACTTTATATTTATGTATATTCAGAAAATTCAAAGTTATATTTTCTAAACTGACTTACACAGAATTCTGTTATATACGTTTTTGATCATGTTATAACTATCTTTTAAAGCACTAAATTGAATTAAAAATTTCCAAAACATCATCTTCTCACTTTAAGATATTTCAGATTTAGAAGGACTAGTTCTCTATTGAGTTTATTATTTCAAACTTTTTAGTTATTATATTTTTGGATTTATTTATTTATTTGTTTTTGGCAGCTGGCTGGTACGGGGATCTGAACCCTTGACCTTGGTGTTAATAGCACCATGCTGTAACCAAGTGAGCTGACCGGTCAGCCCAGTTATTATCTTTTTTGATCACAGCCTTGAGTATATATGTATAGAAAAAAATTTAGGAGTTTATGTACTGAAATACCTCTAGTTAGTAGGATTATTAATAAATTAAAGTGAAAAAAAATTCTTGGTCTGTTTATTTCTAATTTTTCTATAGCAATCATGAGTCTCTTGAGGGGAAAAAAGTTTTAAAACAAACAAAATATTAAAATATAAACTTTACTTTGTAGATATGGATCATATTTCTTATATACCTATATATTTTTGATATTTTATTTTAGTTTTGTGTATTTTGCTTTTCATTGTTTTTGTTGTAAAAGAGTAACCTAATTTTTTTTTTTTTAAAGAAGGAAAAAGTAACCTAATTTTCAATTGTGTATCTCTCATGGATGCACTGTGCCCTTAAGAGTTTAATACTTCCTCAGATCCCCTATTGGCCAGCCACAAAAAAAAAGAAGAAAAGAGTTTTCTATTTCTTGACATATTTAGAGTTATTTGAAACTATGCACACATATCAAATGTACCGTACATAATGGCTGCAGCCTGTTGTATTCCCTAACTCCTAGACCTCCCAATCTTTTGTGGGGGATGTAGTGTCTGTTCTAGAATATCATTTGGGTGTCAGTTTGCTCAGAGATTTATCTTGCTTAGAGGAACATTCTCTGATTCCCTTGACTGTGTTAGTTTCCCCCTATTATACATGCTTATTGTGCTCTGTACTCTGCTAGTGTTGCGCCCGTACCGGACCGGGACCGGCAACGGGATCGCAACCCTCGGTGTTGCGTCCGCACCTCGCTCAGCCAGTGAGCGGCCGGTCTGTATGTGGGATCCGAACCCTCGGCGGGAGCGCCGCCGCACTCCCAAGCGGCGCACTGTAGCAGTGCGCCACCGGGCCGGCCCCATTGTGGAATTTTATACTTATATTAATGTCTGTCTCGTGGGAGCGCCGCCGCACTCCCAAGCGGCGCACTGTAGCAGTGCGCCACCAGGCCGGCCCCATTGTGGAATTTTATACTTATATTAATGTCTGTCTCATGCTAAACAGTAATTTCCATGAGGGCAGAAACTAGGTACATTTTGTTCTTAAATTTCTGTTACTGATGAACAAATGAATAGAACCGCATAAGTGAAGGTCCGTTCTCTATTTGTTAAAATAATTCACTCAGTTCAACACAGGTTATGAAATAGTGATATCTAACATTCATATGATATAATGCTTTCAAGTGTACAATTTCAGTAGAAATTGTAGCTTTGTCCAGCATGAAGCATTTTGTATGTAAGTATATTCATTGAGTCTAGTATATTATGATCTTGTCAAAGATGTGAGAGACTATACTATGAGTTTCAGACAATTTGATATCTGTGTGGAAAACTGTATTTAGCTGTGATTCTTGACTGGTTGTTTTCAGAACATCTCCCAAACCAAGTTTAGTGACGTTAAAAAAAAAAAATGAGGGCCGGCCCGGTGGTGCACTGCTATAGTGCGCCGCTTGGGAGCGTGGTGGCGCTCCCGCCGAGGGTTCGGATCCCACATACAGACCGGTTCCCGCTCACTGGCTGAGCGAGGTGCGGGGGCAACACCGAGGGTTGCGATCCCGTTGCTGGTCCCGGTCCAGTACGGGCGCGACACTGAGGGTTGCGATCCGTTGCCGGACACGAAAAAAGACAAAAAGGAAAAAAAAAAAATGACAAAAAGAAAACTCCGAGACGGACTCTGTTACAGTATTCAAACTGACCTGATGTCGCTTGGTCCTGTCGCCTGTGATTAGTGAAAAGTCTATTGCCCAGGGCATCGCTGGCGATTGTATAACAATGTGCCACAGTCATTCCTTGGTGATTGGTAGCTTATTACCATATATTATATTTTAGGTTCACAGAAAAATCAGCTGGTAGTTGCATAACCCCCTCTATTTGATATTTTTGGTATCAAAGTCCTAGTTCCACTGAAGACATTTAAAAAGATGCCATTAAATATTTTAGAAATTAAACTTTTTTTTTTTTTCTTTTGTCTTTTTTCGTGTCCGGCAACTTTCTGTTTACTGTTTATATGAAAGTAGTAATGTAATAATTATAATAGAAGTATTCTTCTATTTAAAGTTTATATAAATTCATATGTAATTTAGATTCTATGTGACGTTACCTTATTAGTGTAAATCATTCCATTGAAACTCTAATAAAGATACTAGAAAAACAACTCAGAGGATTTTTAATTTTGATGCCTGATTTGTGACTCTGCATTTTTTTCTGTATTCAGATGTGTAAAGGCCTAATAGTTTGTGATGCTTTGTAGTTACATAAAGAATTTAAATATTATTTATTTGTGTTTTTTTAATGTTCATAAAAGAAACTAGAAGGATCCACAAACTAATCAAATGAATACATATCGTAGAGGGAGTGTGGACTAGCACATCAGGGAAGAGTATGGGAGGAGATTTTTCACTTGCTAGCTTTCTGCTCTTTGATTTTTTTTTTGAACCATGTGAATGCACTGCCTAGTCATAAAATTTAAAAATAAGTTAAAACATTTAAACATTAATTGTACAAAGTGAGGATAGCATTTAAATAATGAAACGTAGTTTACATGTATAGGAAGTTTAAAAAATAGTGATGTTGAAAGTGCATTTTGGAGGATGAGAACAACTCAACCATTTCTGTATATCAGTATCCCCTTCTCCAGGTATAAAATCAGGTTTTTTGGAGATTTACTACTTAGTAACATGAGGTGACCAAGTCCTAATGGTAATCATAACAACAGTGAATAACAACCATTGACTGTTTACTATGTACATACTATATACTGTGTATGAGAAGTGGCTTAGTTGAGATATTTTTTCATGCTCACAAGCATCCCTGACAGCTGAAGGTACCTTATTTTCTCCGCTTTACTAGTGAAGAAGTTGAGGCTTAAGTGAGGCTGAGTAACTTGCTTAAGGTCACACAGCTAGCAGGAGGTAGAGCTGAGATTCAGAATGAGGACTGTCTATTCTACTCTCATGTTCTTCATCACTTTTCCCTACTGCCTCTTTGTAAAGGAACCAAAATGTCACTTAAAAAAAACAAAAACAGTTGTATTTAAAACCTACAGTGATGTAATTATTTGCTTTGAATGTCATTAGATTGGGAAAATAATACAATGGTAATTGTAATGCCTGCTTTCTTTAATTCATTCATATTTGCCTTTTATTTAATGACTGTAGATATTATAGATAGTTATAATATGGGTGTTACAGAGTGGTAACATAATATTGAAAAATTACCCTGGACTCTTAAAGCATTTTTAAAAAAATTAATTTTGTGTTTTTCCTTCCTTAGCATAAGCCAGACCAAGTTGAGGGAGGTGGAACCAGCAGCATGCAGTGGCACGGTGAAGGGTGAACAGTGCACTAACAGAGCCCTTCCATTCACCAGACATTGTTTCCAGCGTATCCTTTCAACTAAATTGAGCGTGCATTGAAAAAGTATTAACTTATTTGGGGCTATGTATTTCATTTTTAAATCAAGTGAATGACTTTTGAAATCATAACTATTTTATGTTTAAAATAATTTTTATGTAACTTCTACTTTTCATGAAGTCCTCTGAATAATTTTTTCCTAACTGAATAATGTCTACTCAAGAATCACAACAAAATAAGTGAAACTGATACAAATAGCAGGTTCTTCCAGTGCTGTCAATTATATTTTGTTAATAGAATTCTAGTCCTTCAGGTGGTTCCAGGTATCTTGTAAGAAACAACTATAACACTCATTGATGGAAAAATCAGATTGCATTATGTAAAAACTGTTTTTAGTCTTCCAAGACAGTATGCCTTTTGCTGTAGGACTAATTTGCCATTTATAGTGAATACAGTGCTGATTTGAATGAGTGAAAGGTAACAAACATTACTGACTAGGAAAGAAGATATCTTAAGACAATATACTTGAGGAAAACCTATGTTAGCGAGCTTTAGGCTGGTGATGAAATCTTATTACTCTCTCTTTTATTAAATATTTAAAATTGGGTAGCATTTTAAAAATTTATGTAATAGCAGTTACTTATTCTTCTCTCCTATTTGATTTTTACCCTCCTTTCTGTTTTTGGAGTTATTTCCATAGCTTTTTCAGCATCAGATTCTATATAGTAAAGGCTTAATAAATAGTCTTAACTATATAAACCATAAAGGAAGAACACAAAGGTACTTCCTTAATAGATGTAAAGTAAATCTTGTGAAAATGTAGTGGTTAAAAGTATGAATGCTTAAAAATGTTGATGATGTTTAGCTGATGTTCCAATTTTAATAATGAGTTTTGACTTAAAAGTAGTTTTTGAAAGTTGTTAAGTTTGAGTTTGGTGTTGAAAATGTGAAATGAAAAATTCAACTTTGGACAGTTATTTTTTTTTATAATTATATCTTTAAATTTTTATTTTTGATGAGTATCATAAGCAGAAAGCTTTCCTTTTAAAAGTTTTTTTTGTCTTAAACCACTGTAGTGGAACTTTTAGGAATTAGTGTATTAAGAAGGAAATGACCCTTCTTCTCCAAATAGCAGAATTTGGTTCACTGTGGCTGTAAAGGAGACTCCTCCAGAAGCATGTCTGACAAATAATGATGATAAATTCAATTATTACTATACCAGTAGTTGGGATGGTACTTTAGCTTTTATAGATAATAAAATTTATATTTATTTGATATAGGTAAGGGAAAAAATAAATTTTATATAGGAACTGAAAAATTAAATGATGTCTCAGTGCATTTTATTCCTAACTCAAAAAAAAAACCAAACAGATATCCTCTTGAACCGCTCTCAGCAGCTCTTCTCAAGTTGCACAGCCAAGTTTGCAGATGGACAGCAGTGCTCTGTGCCAGTTTTTGACATTACACATCAGACACCTCTGTGTGAAGAACATGCCAAAAAAATGGTAAGTTCGGGTTTTATTTTCTGTAGTAGAGGCTTTCAAACTTTTGATAGCTATCCACAGTGGGGAATACTTTGTAACTTAGTACCAACTGTGTGTGTACATAAATCACTGAAATAAGTTTTATGAAACAGTATGTTTACTACCTGATATTTTCTAGTCTGTTCTATTTGACTAAAAATGAAAAAGTGCCGGTTATGACCCATTGAATTAATTTCAGATCCTCATTTTAAAAAAGACTGGTCTGTAGGATATTTAGTAGTTACTTAGATATGATCATTTTCTGTATTCTATACTTCTGTTCTCCTTAAGATACATTTTCTTACATATAGTAGATTTCACAAACTCTTTTTTGCCCCTAATTTCCAGTTTTGAGAATGTCTTGTATATTTGATAAAGTTTTGGTCCAAAACTAAACCTTTCTATAATTCTATGGAACTTAATTACTGCTTTAGCTAATGCTAGCATCATAAACACTAATTCAGAATAATTTGGGAGAGAGATGTTTGAATTGGTGAAATATGTGAATTATATAATCATTTAAATTAAGTTCACTTTTATTGTTTTCACCCATTAGACACTTATTGCAAGGTTTATTGTACCTTATGTACTAAAAAATTGAGTAAGACACTTCCTGCCCTTTGTAAGCATTTTATAGTTTTCACAGGTACATAAGGATAACAGAAGGGGTGTTAAACCAGAACTTAATAGTTTAAGCTTGTGATCTGGCTTTGCCATTAGCCAAACGTATAACTAGGGACTAATCATTCAGTCTTTCTGGACTTCAGTTTCCATGTATGGAATACACTGGTTTCTTCACCAAGAACCTCTTTTGTTTTTTAGGTTTCTTTTTTGGACCATATATTTTGAAAAATTTGTATACTATACTACATATACAAATGTCGAATAATTATTTTCCCATTTTAATTTAATAACATTTAAAATATGGGCATTTTTGTTAGCTTCATCAAGCTTTATTGTGGCTAAGGAATAATTTCTGTATGCTTTTTGAACCACTTTTCTGGGCCTTCATTGCTGATTTCACAGACCCTTGTAATGTGGTCCCTGAAGCTTTCAAACCACTGAAGTAAATGATCCCAGCTGTATATCTTGATTTTAAAGTTCTGCTATTCCAGCATTCTAAGACTAGGACAGTATTGTTAAGTAGGGCAGCTATACTTCAGGATCTGCTTTAATGATTTAATATGAATGAATTTTTTATTCCTATGGCAAGTATTATGTGAATGCTTTTGAAGAATTGGAAAGTGGTTTACTCTTTTCAGCTGGTTAAACATTCCTACTTAGGCAAATTCAATGAGGCAAACCTAAGGTTGAATTAGTATAATATAAATTAGTCATAAAATAACATATTTTATATAATAATATAAAATAAAAATGTAACCTAAATAAATAATATTAGTCAGGTTTTTAAACAGTATTTACAGTACAAATTTTTTAAAATTGTTCCCTATCTGAAAGCAGTTACAGAATCTGACACTGGTTTGAGCTATTTTTGTATTAGGTTAAAAGTTTAATTAGACTTTGTTACAAACACTGTACCCCATCAGTGCTGCAGTGAGAGATGCTTACACTGGGAGACAAAATCTGTGTGTTAATCTCTTGGCTCTACTTCTGTTATATTTTGAGTCCAAACACATTTTACCAACTTCACTACTACCATCCTAGCCTTAACTACCTACCATCATCTTTGCCTGGATTATTGTAATAGTCTCCTAATTGATCTCCCTTCTTCTTGCCATCCCCCCACCCCCACCTCATACGCATACCAGGTGTATTGTTCACACAGCAGCCAGAGTAAGCTGGGTGTGTTCCATTTTCTTTGAATTAAATTCATTCTTTTGAGTTTATAGTTTTGTGAGTTTTGACAAATGCATACAGTTGTGTAACCACCACCATAATCAAGACACAGAGCAATTCTATCACCTCCCAGAATTCTCTTGTGCTAATCCTTTGTGGTCAACCCTTTACTCCATCCCCACTGATGTTTTCTGTACCTATAATTTTGCATTTTTCAGAATGTTGTATAAATGGAATCCTATAGTGTAGTTGATACATCTAATCATTTTAGTTTCATGAGGAAAACCTTTTAATGGCTTTCCATTACATTTAGAATCAAATCCAAAATTCTTGCCATGGCCTCTGAGGCACTTACTGATCTGGCCCTTGCAACCTCTTCAGCTTCATCTCATACTGCTCTCCTTCTCGCTCCCAGAGTTCTAGCAACATTGGCCTTCTGCTGTTTCTTGGAAACTCCTAAGTATGCTCCAACCTTAGGGGTTTTGCACTTGATTTTCTCTTTTCTTGGAATGTTCCTTTTCCAGATTTCTGCTTAGTCCGTTATGTTATTCAGGTTTCTAATGAAATGTCACCTCTTCAAAGAAGTCTTCTACATCCTTGCCACCCTGTCAGTTTTTATCCTCATATTGTACCTTATTTTTCTTCCTAACATTTATCTGCCTAACATTACATTATTTATTAATTTGTTTATTGTCTGCATTCTCCTACTAGAATGTAAACTTCATGAAAGCAAGAACATTTTTCATTGTTGTCTCCCTGGAGCATAGAGCAGAGATGCTCAATAAATGAATGGTTAGGCACATGGCTGGGAGGGTTAAGATTCAGAACTAGACTCAGCCACTAGGATGGAACAGCCATTGGTAGCAGAGGCTTAAGCTGCAGGAAGTCCAGGCTGGCAGGCAGAACATGGTATTCCAGCAAGTATGAGGTCATACAACAGATGGTAATTTAGTAAATGCATTGTCCTGACTTAGAAGTAGAATGAGACAGTGAGAAAGTTGGGAGTGAGGAGTTTTTTACTCTTCACTAAAGCTAGGTAAATGAACAGTTGACATTAGGAAAGCCTCTAGGGAGAGGGTACTAGCTCTCTGGAGGCGCTAAGTGAGGGACTGCTGAGAGAGGCTATTCTGTGTGGAGTACCTGGCTCATTACCAAGAATGTTGCAGGGCTACTGGGCATAAGTGTAGGAGAATCAGGCAGGAGCCTAGAACCTGAGCCCAGCGATCATTGGGGGTCTTACAGTAGGACTTGTTAGACCTTGGGCTAGAACTGTCTAACTTCCACCTGCCTCAGATCAGCACTGATGCCAGAGAGAAAGCCTAAAATGGATGCTGAACCCAGTGTTGAGCACTGGTAGTTGCTCGTTTATCATTTGTTGAATTAAATAGCGGACTTAATAAAAGTAGACCTCAAATGTTGAGCCAAAAATAACTAGAGTCTGGGAAGCAGCCTGTTTCTTTAAAAAATAAATTTATATATTTGTGATTTAAGAGTCTGTAATTACGTTTGTGTTCAAGTAATTGAGAGGGATTAAACTTCTAAATTTCTTGAATTTATGCTTCAATTTTATTCCTTATTGTTTTAAATTTGTTTGATGCTAGTGATAGTTATTAGTCTTTAAATACTATTGTCTGCAGTCTTTTTATGTATTTAGTTATAAGGGTAATTACTGAATTAATCAAATCAAAGGTGACATCAATTGTAAAACCCACTGTTTTATATACCACCAAGAGAGAAAAAACGCTGCCAATGATACAGTGCTTTCTTTTCACTTAGAATTTTTGTTTTATTATTAGAAGAGCTTTTCTAACACTTAGGCAGATTTTTATCTTATATAATGCTCCTGGTTTCAGCTGTACGACTTGACATGTGGAAGGCAGTATTTTCTATGCACTTCAGCTGTAACTGAACTTCATTTGCTTTGTGGTTATTTTCCTTTCCCACTTGGCTGTTGCTTTGCAAAAAAAAACAAAAACAAAAAAGGTATTGTGGTCAGTTCTTCTGTAATGAGTATTTGCTTCACTAATATCACACCCTGTTGATCTTTGTGCCTTTCTGAATATACAAAAATTTTTCCTCAATATCTAGTATCAACAATATGCATACCTTAATTTAAAGGGTGCCAGAACAAAGAGCTATAACTAAATTCGAGCATATGTAGGCAATGCCATCTGTGATGACATTCATCTGGCCTACAGCAATTGTAAGATGCCAACGATTGTAAAATGCTTCCCAATTGCAGATATTAAAATGTACATCTTGGAATTGATGAAATATGTCATCTTAATCAGTTTGGGCTGCTATAACAAAGTACCATAGACTGGATGGCTTATAAACAGACATTTGTTTCCCATAGTTCTGGAGGCTAGAAGTGCATGAACCGAGTACCAGCTTGGTTGGGTTCTGGTGGGGACCCTCTTCCGGGTCGTACCCTGTGTACCCTGTTGTATCCTCACATGCCAGAGAGAGAGCTAGCTGGCCCTCGGGGCTCTTTTATAAGGGCACTAGTCCCATTCTTGAGGGCTCCACCCTCATGATTGAAGTCACCTCCTCCTAATACCATTACATTGAGGGCTAGGGTTTTAACGTGAGTTTTGGGAAGACACAAACATTCGGTCCATAACGTATTGTATATAGATGTAAGGACAGCTGAAGAAAGCTGGTTACATTACTAATTTCTTCTTCTTCCTTCCTGGCTCTTCTTCCTTTGCCTACTCACCTAATTACAGCAGTTTTATAAATCTGTGTCCTCACTGTCATCTCTGTACCCCGTCTCCCTAGTCCATGTACGTTACTTGAAGGGCTTTTACTGTGTCCTAGATTGCCAAATCTACATCTCCAGCCCTTTATCTCTCTGCACCAGATGCGCATACCTCCTCCCTAGATGTCTGTATATCTCAAACTGTATGTGAGCCAAACTGAATTCCTTAACTTCTCTTCTGAATCTGCTTCTTCTGCTGTGTTCTCTAGATGATGTGCTATCATCATCTAACAATCACCGAAACTAGAAATGCGCGGGACATTTTAGAGTTTTATATTCCCTTCATCCTCACCACACCTAAGCAGCTGTCAGATCTTGAGCATTCTATCCTGACAGGCCTTTGCTTTTCCATTCCCATTCCCGTGGTCCTTAGCTATTTACCTTGTATCGACTGTTGAAAAGCTTTCTGAGAACAGTTGCCTCCATTGCTTGCCTCTTCTGTTTATCCCTTTATGTTGCTACCAGGGTAGTTGATCCTTCTAAAGCATTTGTCAAGTCGTGTTACTCTGCTCATCAAAAATGACTCCCCATTGCCTATAAAATAAAAACCCTTCACAGAATATTCAAAGTCATACCTGCTCTGGTCAGAAACTTCTTTACAGCTTACCCTTTGTATTCCATCCCCCATCACACCCTAATCCTAAGCACCAGTCATACCCAGTTATTTGCTGTTGTTTTTTATCTTTAATTTTTTTGGTGGCTGGCCGGTACAGGGATCAAACCCTGGACCTTGGTGTTATTGGCATCAAGTTTCACAACTGAGCTAACCGGCCAGCCCTGCTGTTCTTTTTCTTGCTTGTGTCATTTCATTTAACCTAGAGTGATCTTCCCACTTATTTCAACCATTTAAATCCTACTTATCCTTTAATCCCACAAGACAAAAAGTAATTAATTTTCCTTTTGTGCACCCATAGGAGGTGTTTATCTCCTCACTGCCCAATTTTCTCTGTACTGTATTTACATATACTTGTATTCATGTTTTTCCCATGGGAGAGTAAGTTCTTTGAGAGCACAAATTAAATTGTTTCATTTTTGTATACTATAGCATTTATCATAATGTCTTTAAATACAGAATGAACTATATGTATATGTTGAATTGGTGTGAATTAAATGAATCTTTCATTGATTTTTGTTATGCATAGTTTTAGACATACAGGATGTTTTAGTCATTATATAGAATATTGGAATATATGAGTATTTTTTTTATATAGCTATTAGATTTTCCCCAAATAATCTCAGTCGAAAAATCCATTTATTCATCCCAAAGGATAATTTCTTGAGAGGTGATAACTCCCGTAAAGTTCAGCACCAGCAGCAGAGGAAACCCAGGAAAAAAACCAAGCCTCCTGCACTTACCAAAAAACACAAGAAGAAGAGAAGGCGTGGACCTCGTCGACCCCAAAAACCCATCCCCCCTGCAGTCCCCCAAGGGAACCTCAGCATGCCCAGCAGCGTCTCACTGCCAGTGGAGGCCTCTCAGATCCGGTCAGTGATGGTGCTGGGATTTACTTTTCCTCTACATTTTCTCATTGTTCTCAGAACCTCTAGCTTCATGTGGTTATTCTAATGTTGGCAGTAGACTACAGAAGCCTTTTAGAAGCCTAGACTTTTTATAGTTTTTGGTATGAATTTTACCAATATCTGGCTGGGTTAAATCTAAAATAAAGCTTTTGATTACAACAAGGAAAGCAGATGCTGAAATTGAGAATTGTATTTTCTCAGATTTTTCTGTTTTAACAGAAATTCCATATATGTTCCAACAGAAATATTCCATCAGAATTATGGTGCATTATTAATTTTGGCAGGATTAAGCATTTTGACCAGATAAATGAAGCTTCTATTTCAGCTAAGAATTTCAATTTTACCTGTTTATTTAATTTTTAAAATTATCGTTTTGACCAGATTTGCAGTTCTACTAAAAAGTACTGACACATTTGATACACCAAATTGTGATTCATTCTACTACTTTGAAGTAAAAATATTATCTAGTAATGGTTGTCTTCTCTAAATACATGGGTAGAGGTTGCAGAAATATGTGACTGCATACAGTGAGGTCTATCTTTTTGCAATGGCTCTGCTTTTAAATGTCGTATTACAGTAAAGAAGGAGACATTTTAAGTTAGGACTTCCTATTGGCCTCTTTTCACATTGGATGAACTTGTCTTGGTGACATTGGGGTGAAGGTAAAGGGAAGTAAGTAGTGGGACCAACTGCATCATCTTTCCCAGGAGCCCATCCACGCCAGAGCTGAGTGCTGATGAGTTGCCAGATGACATTGCCAATGAGATCACTGACATTCCACATGACTTGGAATTGAACCAGGAGGACTTTTCAGATGTCTTGCCACGGCTACCTGATGACTTACAAGATTTTGATTTTTTTGAAGGTATGATCAATATTTTGATTTAAGGAAACTGGTTTTAAAAAGAAGTTTATAAGAAGGGAAATTGGTTTTTGAGATGTGTTTGAAGTATGCCTCCTCACATATAATGTGTTTCGCTATTGTTAGAAAATATAACACTACTAACACTATTTTACCCTTTTCAGAAGCTGAGGAATGTGAAATTCGTTTAACCTTATAGTATATTGGTATACGTATAGTTTGATAGCTAAATTTATAAGTTCATTCCTTTAAAATGAATAATTTTAATTTTGAACAAAAACATTTTAAATGTGAGTTTTTGACATCTTTTAGAACTTGCAGTACCCCACTCCATACTTCAATTGAAGTGAACTTTTCTGAAACAAAGAAAAAGATGGTTTCTTTTTTTTTTTTTTTAGCATTTTTTAATTGAAAAATAATTGAGTAAACATATTTGTGTGGTACAGAGTTGAATATCAATACCTGTGTACAATGTGTGATGACCAAATCAGGTTAATTAGCATGTTCGTCATTACAGAATGTAGTCATTCCTTGTGTCCATTAACCAATTTCACGCTAGTCCCCGTCCTCTTCTTCCACTTCTGGTAACCACAGTTCTGTTCTCTCCTTCTGAAAGTTCAATGCATAATTGTGATTGCTAAACAAAGTTTTATTAATCCCACCAGTTCCCCAGTGCTTTCAGGGGATATCTTTTATAGTCTTAGAATATTTATTTCACCATTAAAAATTAGATATTTTCATGGTGATTAGTCAAATTCCTAACAATAGATTTTTTCATCTTGGAAATGAAATGAAAGTAGGTCCATGGGTTTCCATTTTATGAAAATTAGTAGAAATAGGAAAAGAATGAGAAGGAAGGATTAGAGTGTAAAGCAAAAGCATTTCGAGAAATAACCCATGAAATGAACTAAGTGCTTAGTGTTGTGCTTAAATATATGTATGAATTTCTGTGTTCTGGTCTTCCACAGCTGCGCTCCAGTTGGAAGAGTGTAGAAGTAGAAAAAGCAAGGAGGACTATTCTACATAGCCTTTTGTCTCAAGTCTGAATTGATATGATATGTTTTACATTTTAATGACATTTACATAATTTTAGGTATAAACGTGTTATGAAACAGTCATGAGTTTTGAATTGGTAATCCTTAGAGTTCCTAAAAATTTAACACTTTGATAAGATGATTTTGAGAGTATTTTAGATAAACTGAAGATGGTGATTCAAGTTCCAGGGCCGTTGGCATTTCAGACCCGTCCTGTAGATTAACAGTTTACTTTTTCCTTCCAATCCAAATCCTGGAAACTTCTTTCCAAGAGGAACTCTCTTTCAATAAAACATTGTTGAAAACAATGTAAATGTAGGATTTTTGTGATGTAAAACAGTTAAAAGCTCTACTGATTCTTGATGGCTTTTGTTGACTCAGGAAAGAATGGAGACCTCCTCCCAACTACCGAAGAGGCCGAGGAACTTGAACGGGCCTTGCAGGCTGTAACTTCTCTCGAGTGCCTGAGTACCATTGGAGTACTTACCCAGTCAGATGGTGTGCCAGTCCAGGAGTTGTCAGACAGAGGAATAGGGGTGTTCTCCACAGGTACTGGAGCTTCAGGAATCCAGTCCTTGAGCCGAGAAGTAAACACGGATCTAGGGGAGCTATTGAATGGGCGTATAGTACATGATAATTTTTCTAGTCTAGAGCTGGACGAGAACCTGCTCCGTTCTGCTACCTTGTCTAACCCACCTACACCCCTGGCAGGGCAGATCCAGGGGCAGTTCTCTGCCCCAGCCAACGCTGGCCTTACTTCTGCCACTCTGATCAGCCAGAGTGCACTTGGGGAGAGAGCCTTCCCAGGACAGTTTCATGGACTTCATGATGGCAGCCATGCCTCCCAGAGGCCACATCCTGCCCAGCTGCTGAGCAAGGCAGATGACCTAATCACCTCACGACAGCAATACAGCAGTGATCATTCACACTCCTCGCCCCATGGAAGCCATTATGATAGTGAGCACGTGCCGTCTCCCTACAGTGACCATATCACCTCTCCCCACACATCGTACTCTGGTGATAATATGGCAGCTACCTTCTCAGCAGAGATGCCCATCATGGCACAGCACTTGCTCCCAACCCAACTTGAGGTGCCACTTGGAGGAGTGGTAAACCCCAGAACTCACTGGGCTAGTCTCCCTGTCAACCTTGGAGATCCCTCTCCATTTAGCAACCTTCTTGGCGCAGATGGACATCTTCTTTCCACTTCCCTATCCACGCCACCCACCACTTCGAACTCAGAGACCACACAGCCTGCCTTCGCCACCGTGACCCCCAGCAGCTCCAGTGTGCTTCCGGGGTTGCCGCAGACCAGCTTCAGTGGCATGGGACCTTCTGCTGAACTAATGGCCTCCACTTCTCCCAAGCAGCAACTCCCTCAGTTCAGCGCAGCCTTTGGCCACCAGCTGAGTTCTCACAGTGGCATTCCTAAGGACCTGCAGCCCAGCCACAGCTCTATAGCCCCTCCTACAGGCTTCACAGTAACAGGTGCCACGGCTACAAGTACCAATAATGCATCTTCTCCCTTTCCCTCTCCTAACTGAACATGTCCGTGTGTTTGCAGGCAGGTGGGAACCCGGTGTTTTCTATCTTTGTTTCCTCTTTAGCACCCCTCTCCCCTTTTCCTAAAGAAGATTTAAAAAATAACAGACGGGGAGGAGAGGGACACCCCCTTCCCAGTTCAGCAAGTGGCCCTGCAGTGGACCATACTTCAGTGTTCACGTGTGCTCCTCAGCACTGGTGCTCATTCCCTCCTGGCAGGTCCACTCAGCCCCAGTGGTTTCCTTAGTGGTTCAGCACAGTAACTGGATAGGATTGACGTTTAGCAGCAAGTCCCAGAAGTGGAAGATACCTCAGATTACCAGTGCCCTTTACTATTTCCTAGTATTCAGATCAGTGCTTTCCATTCTATCACCAGATTTTTACATGGGTGGTTATAGGTAGAATGATCCTATTAATCAAGTTCCTGTGTGAGAGATAGCAAATGGTGTGGAGAGGCAGGTCAAGGCTCTGACTAAGCACCAGCTGCTAAACACCACAGTGAGGCCAGGATTCCGTTCCTAATTGTGATCATGTTTAACTGAAAAGAAAAAAATTGTCTTTTGACTGCCTGAGTATGCGTGCGCCCATGTGTGTGTTTTTGTGCAGTGCAGGAAACAGCTGTCTTATTGGTTTGATTTGTTTGGTTTTTTCCCACTTGATCATATAAGGCTCTTACTTTTCTCCTTTTCTATATCTCACAACCCTAATAAGGTTGGTCATTCTTTCCCACTGAGTTAACTAAAGTTTCCTGAATAGGGAGGGTGGTGGTCTGGTTGTGTGAATAGCTAAAAGTTAGCCCAAGAAGAAACGGAACACAGAAAGCTGAATTCGTGTCAGTGATGTGGGGATGTCACAAAAAGCTTGCCTGGAGTGACTGCAGGCCTGCCGAGGTTGCAGCCTCGTGGTCACTTTGCCTTTTCAGACATGCATCTGTTTCTAAATCCCTCTGTCATGGAATATATTTGCAAGATGTAATTAAAGAAAATATTTTGATGTGAAAAAGCAGGATAGGTCAGATAGATTTGAAAAGATGGGGTCTGTGAACTCCTTGATCCATCTTTTGCTTTTGAATTTTTCATGTTTACAGTAGTGATTCTTTGGTAAGATTTGTAAAATGTTGACGGCACTTGTAGAATCAGTGTACCCGTTGTGAAGTGATGTGTAATATCTGAAGGATACACATTTTAAAGTTTCTTTCAAAGCAAAATATGGAAATTAGACAAATTGTACCTACTGTTTGGTACTTTTAAAATAATTTAAATACTTAGGTTTAAGTAAATTTGGAACTGGTTTTGGGAAATTTTTTTAAAGTACAAGGATTTTAGGGTTAAAAATCATATTGGGTAGTTTAGTGAGTTGGTGACTATGAAATGAATATGTGAGGTTTCTTCTTGCCTGCCTTTTTTTTCCCCCAGAGAAGGAGGGAACTAGATTTTAAGGGCATCTCTACTCTGCTTTTGCTGATAAGTTTCACTGTCCCTTGGGATACCATTGGCTATTTATACCTGAGTCTAGTCTAATTTACATATATATATTTTAAAAGATAAGTAGAGAGAACATGTCTATTAATGATGTGGTACAATAATTCATTTGTCAGGGAATATTTGATCTTAATTCCTTTCTAATAGGTAAAGATTTGGATGTATTTTCCTACTTCCTATATGTATTTTCTTTATGCCATGCTAGTTCTAACCAGTCCCTTATTTTGAAAGCTTTTCTTCTCTGCTTTTTAAAGGAATGATGTTGATCAGCAGGCATTATGCAGATACCACGTGCCTGAGATTATGGAGGGGAAATGTCACATGACTGTATGAAATCATTGTATGCCCTATTTTGTATTTATTGAAGTTTTTTTTGTGGGCCAAAAATGTGTTTGTAATATATTTAGTTGGTTTTTTTTTTAAATCATGGTAATTGATTGGAAGATTTATTTTTAATAGCTTTGCCTCTTTTTGCAGATTGAGAAATTTCTAAATTATAAATTATGTCACAAAGTAAAATTATATTTGGTATCACCATAAATTTCTATTCTGAATGGTGAGAAGAGATAACTTGAATATTTCTCACCTGTGAACCTATGTTAGTAAGCTTTTTTATTTTAATGTACTGTAAGGAAATGATTATGAGTAGTTACCTCTGCTCAAAAGTTCATTTAGTTTGCTAAACTATTTTCACATCCCGTTACAATCATCACTAGGTAACTGTCTATTCCCAGCAATTTGGCTTAGTCTCCATTGTATACTAATTAAAGGTTGTAGGAGAGCAGCACATTAACTTCCTTTTTATCCCTTCTTTGACAGGGAAGGGAAAGTCATAGGTAGTCAGTTTGAACTTTTTCTGGCTATTTGTCTCTCGTGTCAGCTGCTTAAAAATCTTCAGTTATCAAAACTGAATTTGCAGTCAGTTGCACATTTTATTGTTTGCAATTTTCTGTTTTACGTGCATTTAAAAGCCCTTCTCTGCTTTCTAGTAAGGAGGCATGAAATGATCAGGAATGTTGCCAGTTACAGCTTCACACCAAAAACTTTGAGTAAATTCATTTTTGTTTAGATGCCCATGATGATAGCTGAGGTAAGGGCACTGTTAGGAAGTACCAGTGTAGTAGGGTTGAGGAACTAGCAAAAACAAACTTTTCTTCTCATCTCATCTATTTCAAAACAAATATCCAAGCTTGCAGTTTGCTTTGCTCTTGCTATTTCTTACAAGTCCCTTTCTGGAGAGAATGCCTATAAGCCCAGAGGATCTGTTATGTTTTTCTTCTAGTTAATTCTAGTGTATTAGCAGTAGGTTTGCTATTAATATTTAAGGAAAGGAATGAAGTGTCTTTTACTCCAGAAATATGAAAATTAGTGTCTTTTAAAATAGCACTTACTGGAATAAAAAACAAATCTTATATAAGTTCACGATTAGATGGAAACTAGTTTTTATTCTAGTATTTAAATGCTTGAGAAATAGTGGCAAAGCAGGTTCATTCTGTTTCTGCAGTACTTTGGGACCATTTATAAAGGCCAGTTAGATTGTGTTACTGTGATTTAATTTACAAAGTTGCTGCAGTTAATGGATACATTCTGTGCTCTGAGATTCAAATTCCATTCTAATGGCTGTGATCTATAGCATCTGAAGAAAAGATGGGCTTTCTCTCCTTTACTCTCTCTATTTAATTGTTAATATTATTTTAAAGTACTTCAGACATTGTTTTTTCCTCTGTAAAAATGGCTTAGCAATTTGCACATCTGGGTAGGTTATGTAGCTGTAAACAATTTACGATAATAAATAGCAATTACACTTAACCCACAAGGTGACAGACTATGCAATGGAAACATTTTCTAATTATCGTCACATAGCATATACAGCAAAAGATTATTTTCTCTAGTAACCTTCCGTGTGTGATATAACTGCTTTATAAATGACTTCCTGAGCAATTTCATGTTGGCAGGCAATGTGGTGTGTCTAGTGTCCCTCTATGAGAAGATTTTAATTTAGTGAGAAACAAATAGTATATATGGAGGTCAAGTTGGAAAGTGGGTTTTTTTTTTTCCTCTTAAAGTTGGTATTACTATCTTTAGTGGCTTAAGACTAAAGAAAACTAGTACTTTATCTTTACCAAATAATTATTTATAAGACTTATTTCTTAAATAAGCCCAATCTCTCACTGAAAGCTAAGAATCATCATTTTCTGTGGCTAACACTAAACTTTACCACAGTTCTTTCTCAGTCCATGATCACAGTCCACAGTGGCAAAGACACTTCTTTGATTAGTCAGGAAACCATGTCTGTGATACACACAGGTGCCCTGTCCATACAGTTTTCTTATGTGAAAGAACTCACATTTCTATTGACCTGTGCCATTCTGTTTTTATAAATTGGCATTAGAATTTGAGCATCTATAGGTAAATCCCCTGCTGTCAGTCAATTGGTTCTTACCTGCAATCCTTCCTGTGTCCTGGCAACATGGGAATGGTGGCAGTGGTTCATAGGCTTCATCAGCAATATTTGTGTGAGAAAATTGCCTTTTCTCCAAGTTAGTTTAAAAGGTTGTTGTGGATTGGTATTGCAAAAGATGAAGTTATTAACACTAAACTAATCATGTAATAGATTTGAAATTCATTTAAAAAATTTTAGGTGTCTAGTTTTTAGTTTCTTCATCCTTCTTTTTAGCCCTTTTAAAATTCTATTCTTAACCCAGTATATATAGAATAATCTAATATAATGGTCTTCTAAATGGTCAACAGAACTCTCCAGTTGAAAGAGGCAATTTAGAGGATTCCTTGAAAGAAAATTTAGTTATAATGAACAGTCTTCATTTGTATTTCTTTCATCACCAATATCTACATTGTTCCAAGGATTTTCTTTCTGACAAAAAATATATTTTTTGGTTAGGGTTACAAATATGAAAGAACATAGATTTCCCTCATCCCTTCAATAAACTGAAAATAACTGAATCTTCACTGGCATTCTATGGAAAAGTTAAAAAATTCAGTTGTTTCTTAATATTTTGACCTTTATAAGCTTTACCGAATCATATTCTGGAGGGAACCAAAAGTAACATTTTAAATGCTAGCTTTCAAAAGATTTATAATAGAATACCAGCGAAGAACATAAAACATATGAAGTTACTTCAAAAAGTTTGCAGAAAAATAGAATTAAAAGATAATACAAATCTTTCCATGAACTTTTTGAAATACTCTCATATATGAATAGTTATGTCTCTTCTAATAACTAGTGTCATTAATATTATAGTGTTGGGTCAAATTTAGGGAGCCTTATTTATAAATAGCAAGAATTCTTTTTTTTCCGCTCCAGCTCTTATTTTTTGTTAGCATTCCTCTCTGCTCTGTGATACAGAGCTAATAAAAGAAAATGTGTTATTTCAGAGAGAGAGCAGATTTGGTATGATTTTCTTTACCCTATCTTCCTGAATATTGGGAATGTTTAGCTAGTTTGAAGAGCAGATTTTTTTTGGTGATCTAAAGTTTAGTCTATAAGAAAACAATCTTATAAGAGAAAAAAATTTATCTAACTTGCAGTAAGCTACGTGGGGCAGCACAGCTTTCCTTCCTCCCTTCTGCCTGCTCGCCTCTGCTCCCCCCGCCCCCAGTACTGCAGTATGCACATGCACTCGCATGATCTGTACTGATCCTGGCCAGAGAGTAATAGAATCCTCTTCTTTCGCTTGTTTTTTTGTTCTTATTTGGTTTTTTAAGCTGGGGACCACTGAAGTAAGCTCTATATGCACCTAAAGTTCCC